GAGCAGAAGCGTGTCATGCATCAATTTACCATGGAGTGTTCATTCAGTTTTCTGTTCAGGTGTTTTAAATAATTCAATGGGTGAAATTTTCTTGCTGATGAAGACTGATGTATCATTTTTGCTGAAATTTTTTGTCACGCCAGTTAAAATTTTCAGTAATTGTATAAAAAATAGGTTTTGCTTTATAATGACCAATTTGTTGTAACCTAATTTTTTGCAACTCTTGCTTAGTGGTCCAAATGGCAAACAATAAAAAAAACTGTGAGTAGCGTGGGGTAAATATTTCATTTCCCCTGCTGGTCACAATAGCCATTTGTTGCATTCTAATTTAAACCCTCTATTTCGCTCGAGGATTTTATCCACTAAGTGACCAAACCGTGGACAATGTGAAGAATTTAATTAATTTAAATGGGATTGGAGCTATTGTCGAATTGGAAGTCAACTGATTATTTTCAATCAAAATTTAAGAACCTGATAAAAATCATGATTCAGAAACGAGTTGGATTTAGAAAGGTAGGGTCTGATTGATAAAAGAACGATGACTCGAAAAATTTTGGCGAACTGAAAAAACTCAATGAAAGATTGTTTTTAAATTTTGCTTGACGGTGAACAGAACCTGATTATTATAATTGGGTGCCGGACATCAAGTCGACCAGACCAGACTTCAAGCCGAAATGAAAATTTAGGGACTTCAAAACGAAAGTTTCTCATAACTTTACAAAATTTGATTCATTTATTACTCACTTTCTTGGAATCGCTGTACTATTTGATTTATTTTTCCAAAATTCTGCGCTTTTTCAGAAATCTAAGATATTGCTATTGGTTTTCGTAGTTTATTATGAATTTAAAAATCCGGCTGATGCAACATACGGATATCAATATTGAACATGTATTTTCACAAACAACTGTTTTAATGGGGTAGATTTGATTTAATCTTCTATTGATAGATTTGAAGTATGTTTTGAAGCGCTTAAAAAGTTGGTCTGATGGCCTTTCGGTTTGTTCTTGTCTTACACGAACTGGCAAAAATTGCCTCTTTTCCACTCTTTAACACCTTCAAATTTAAGTTTTGAAAAACTAGTTTAACGAATTGATATGTAACTTGGCATAGTGAACAAACTAGCAACTGTGAACAAATTTGTATTTCATACCCTACAATGTAAACTTAACGCGTTTAGCCATAATTACAAGTAAAACAACAAAAATAATAAACAAAAATTTAAAATATTGGGGGGGGGGGGGGGGTTAATGGATTGAGATAATTTTAAATGATTGTATGTAGATTCAAAATTGTAAATTGAAATGGACGTAAAGCAATTTTAATTTTTTCATTTCCAGATAAATTGATAAGATAAATTAATATAAATTAAGATGGATTTGGGTCAATTTTAAATCGATCATATTTCCAGGCTAAAAAAGTCAATTTAAATTTTTCCATCTTTTTGACTTTATATAGCTTTTTACTGGAGCCAGAATCCTTAGATTGCAATGTTTAAAAAGGATCACTCGAAACTAATGGCTTGCGATAAACAACGCTTCTCAAGCGACTAGATTACATTTGCACTGACGGTGACTTTTCTCGAAAACAAATTTTTGCTCAAAATTTTTGAGCAGAAGTACTGATAAAATAAGCCTGAATATTTTACAACGCTAGAAGTTGGTTTATTTCAACTCCTCAGAAACTGATATGAATCAATTTTGTAGACTTTTATGGTACTTAGGAGTTTTGCGAAAATCCATTTGAAACAATTTTAATCAATTTTTCAGACAAAAAGATTTATTTCCTACGAGCAAACACCGTTATAATTCGCTGTAAATCAATGAACATGTGCAATTAGGCTTTTTAGGTGCTCGAGTTTTGTATAATCTCTATTAACGTTGATTTAAACTGATCTTAATCCTTTTTTGTCAGTGCGTGTAGACTCATGATCACTTATTTGCCTAAATTTTAAGCACAAAACATGCTTAAAATCAATTTTCTGCAGATGCAAACCTGAGGATGTCTTTTCTCAGAATCAAGTAAAGCTAATCTCAGATTCCGAGACTCGATACGTATGATATCACCGTTTAAAATCTTCTTCTTAGCGTTATGTTATTCTCAGATATCTTATGTTCTTAACATGTGTTCTTATGCTCTAAATTTAACAGCAATTTCGCGAAGAAACAGAAATAATTTTTTTCTGCACAAAAAGCACACATTCTTCCGCCCATATTCTTTCAAGAATCAAAGTCAAAAATAACAAGGATATCTGGTTGCTGTGCAATTAGCACAGAATGTTCCGACCACATTCCTAGGAGTTTTTTTTTTAAATTAAGGTCTTTTCTTGTTCCTCAAGTGAAAATGCTATATAAACGAGCTATATAAACGCGGAGAAATTTAGTGAATTAGGCATAAATGACTACAATTGTCTTCAAAGAAAAAATTTTTGTTCTTCAATTTTTTTGGGCTAAGAATTTCACATTTTCGAAAAAAATTTCTTGCCAGAGGAGCGCTAAATAAGGCTTTCAAAACTGCATTTTCTTATTTTTAAATGAAGTATTTTTTGATCCAAAATTGGTAATTTTTATACATAACGAACGTTAATAGATCGAGCGCTTTATTCCTTCGAAAAATAGAAGAAAAGTCAAAAACTTCAAACCGGTTTTTTGTCATCACTGGGAAATTTTTTAAGAAATTTTTTAAGGTCATTCGAATCACGTCTTAAAAGGCTTTAACATGCTTGTTCACTCAACTCAGATCGATGATTATTTGTGGTACCTTTTTTGCGCGGAAAACCAAAAAAAAAACTAAAAATTGTTGGAATACAATTTTTTTACCCATTTTCAATGGTCTAGTTTTTAAGAAAACTCCTGATCACAGACTTTAAAATATTTTTATTTTTAATAACCCAATAGAACTTTAATAATGTTCTATCCTTGACCCTATACCAGCTTTCGTGGTGGTAAGCCAGATTGGGAGCGAAAACCCTTACGCCATAGTTCTATGCTTCTACTCCGTGAAGTTGTAGGAACAATAAATTGATACACGTCTGTATGGAAATGCAAAAAAAGCATTTGACTGTTTTTGAATCTTGATGAGCTTTTGGAAACAACTCTGAGACCAAGGTTTTTATATTTCCGTCTACCGAGATAATTACAGAGTTTATTTTTGAAAACTTTTTCGAACATCAATCATGTCTTCCATCGTTGTTGCAAACTAGAAAGTCAGAACCCATGCAGCTTTCGATGAACTTATTAAAATATAATTAGTTCTTGATTACGATGATGTCCCATTCCAGTAAAGCTCACACTTTTTTGGTCAAAAATGGACTTGAATTTCACCTGGAAAGCATCAATTGAATTTTTAATTTTCGGCAACACGTATATCGAACAGTATCCAGCAAAATCGCAAAAAAAGCACAAGGACAAAAAAAGTTGAGCAACCTGGCAACCTCTCATGAGACAATTTGGCACCATAGGGCTCACTCAAGATAATAAAGGTGAGAAGCTCGAATAAAACGCAATTCTGTTTCCTCATTCGAAATTTAAAAAAAGTTCCCAGGCTCAAATTAGCTCATATGTTTTTCGATGATTGCATTTGTTTTGAAACCGCTCAAAATTTGAAACAAAAAACAGTAATCAAAAGAATTTTCAGATGATTGTATTGTTTACACAAGCAAAACTTGTGTTATGGCATGAGCTCTCTCTTTTCCAACTTAAGTCACAAGTACTGTTGCAATGCAATTATTGCGACAAAATGTGTTCATTTTGAAAAGTGTTCTTTTTTATCCAGCTATTAAGTGCAGACAATGCTAAGGATATTAACACAGACTGTTAATGTTCCGACTTTCGTAAGGAAATTAACGGAATATTTGTGCTCGGGTTTTTTTTCTTCAGACAAATTTCGACTTTTTAACTAGCCATTTTTGACGGGATTTTAAAAATATCATTCAAAAAGTGTTGTTGTCCTGAGCTTAAATTTGGAAAGGGATTTCACCAGAATTTTTTTTCTCAGAGTTATGGGGGTTTAAAAAGTTCCATTTTGGCCAATTTGGGACAGCTAACGCGCGATATATTTCGCGCTATTAACGCGTAAGCGGAGATTTAATCCATCCTAGAAATCGTTCCGAATTGGTTGAAGAAAGCTTACTTGCCACAATTGATTTGTTACTTGGAGCGAAATTTATCACTTTGTACTTAATATGGCGTGTGGGAAAATGATTTTCACAGAAAATCTCAAATTGAAAAGAAAATTTTAAAATTATTATTGCATTTAATTTTTTCTTATAATTACTGCTCCATAAACTGCTCCATAAATTGAGGCATGTTAGTTGGTAAGTTTCTTTTTTCCACCTTGACTGGTACTGCTAATGCTACATAATTCGCGTGCCTCTCTTAAGAAATTTTGTAGACTCAAAGTTTTACTCATTCAGTTTTTCCCAGTAGCGTTATCTGTCATATTTTTGCTTATGTATGCGAAGTGCAACTTCACCTCTGTGTTAATAATGAGGATCAATTTAACAAGCTCCCCCCTTTTAGATAGACCAAGTGAAGATCCTCAACTCCAGCGTTTATTTTGACTAAATTGCTGAGCGCTGCCATGCATTGCTGGGTTCTGATTGTCTCAAGTTTTCCACTTAGAGCCAAGTAAACATCCTCCCGGGTAGAGATCACGCTCAAAAACCGCTTAAGATTTGAACGGTTTGAGCGGTTCTCCAGCAATATTTGAGTAGTTATTAAGCTGTTTAATAAAAAAAGGCGATCAAAGTCGTCAAAAGTCCCGGAAAAGGTAATGTGACGCTAAGAAGCAGTTGAAGTACTTCTACTTAAGCAAACGAAGAGGGAGGGGGTTGGGAAGGCTGTTAAATTGATCCAATTATGATCCTCTTTGTCCACGAGATATGCAAAAATTAATCTTAATGTTTGATGTTTTGTGGATTTCAAAAAAGACATCTATCAGATATTGGTAGACTTGTCTCTCAAAAAATGATTTATGCGAGCATGCTTGAAAATTACTTTGCGTGAAACAGTCTTAAAACTGTAATTCTTAACGTTCTGATCACCATAAAGCTTAGTTGTTTATGTAATGCTGTTTTTGAACGTTTCAATGTTTAGTTTGAAAATACTACAACAGAATTAAAATACAACAGCTTATTTACAAAAATTATTGAAGCTTCAGAAGAAACTTCTCCAAAATGGACTCCAAAGTGAACGTGAACGTGTCATTGGGATCGATAAGCGAAGCTGAAGAAATCGAACATAAGGGATCTTGTTAACTAGCCCCCCTATGCTAATTGGTAAAAACGAGTAGAAAATTTTCGCCCCTGTAAAAAAGAATGCAACGGTTAAGCATATGCAATTTTTGTTCCTGGTACCAAAACCCCCTTTTTACAATAGGAGGAGGGGGGTGAAAGCTAACAAGATTCAATGAAAGGTGGGTGACATGAGAGGAAATAGGATGAACAAATCAGGGGTGAGTTTTCTTAACGTGCCATCCAGTGGGGGGAATTCAATGAACAGCAGTTACTCCAACACTCCAAATGCGCCCAATGGTCCAAAGGAGTTGGCGATGAGTCATGTATGTTTACCAGTTACTAAAAACTAACCAATTAAAAAAAACTAACTGATCAGTTAGTAAAAAACTGACCAATCAGTTAATAAAAAACTAACCAAACAGTTAGTAAAAAAAACTAACCAATCAGTTAGTAAATAGCTAACCAATCAGTCTTAAAAAACTTGATCAGCCATTCACACGTTGCATCTTACAAACGGGAGCTATTCTTGTTTAAAGGGGTTTTTATAACAAAAATGGGTTGATTTAAGGATGGTTTGAAATGAAGCAATCATGAAAACTGCGCAACATTGACTATGTTGAGGGGGAATGGGGGGTTGCAACATTTTGTCGACGAGCAATTTTAGGCCAGCCATTTTTAATTTTTCGAGTTCCGCCGAAACCTTAGAACAATCGTTTTTTTATGCTATAAAGCTTGTGTCTCCGTAATTTTAATGCCTATATATATCAAGAATTCTCGTCAATTTGGTTTTTTTGGGGCTGCAAATCAAAATTATACTTCTCGAGAAATTTATTTGTTTTATTTACGCGACATATTAAAAGTAGGCAGACAAGTCCTTTAGCGAGGACATCATTCCACCAAAATTTGACGTCGTAGCTCTACAAGAAGCATTTCATTCTAATTTTTTTTAGTCGTGTATAAAAATATGCATTCCTGAGGTTTCGTTTGAGAAATTTGGTTTAGAACTGGTTTAAAATCTCAACCTGCAATTGCTTTGTGTTGATTTATTTAATCTGGAAGATTTAATTCTGCCATCGGATTACATGGCCTTTTGTTCCTTACATTGTTCTGTTCCTTAATATTCCTTCCAATTTGGCCGATACTTTAAAACATTATGTTTGCTCTAGCCGTTTCCAGAATCCATTGAATTGCTGGCTTAAATAGTCCAAAACTAAAAAAAATGCAGAAAATTTACTAACTTGGATCCCTCGCATGCAAAAACTAACCTTCGAAATAAATTATTTGCTTAGAATTTAATGATTGTTTTGACGAGACATTGAAAATAAACACTTTTGAGGCACTTACTTACACTGACGTAGAAGATTTTTTTCTTATTCACCTAAATCGATGTAATTTAATTTGTAGCTCGAGCGTTTCCTAATTTACTTTTTGCCTACAAATTGCGTCACAAGTTATAAGAAAATCGATTAAAATATAACTAATCAATTCAGACCTAAATCAGACCTTTAACCACTTCAGAACTTTTTTTAACAAGGAGCGTCGCAAAGAGATCCTGGACTACCTGACTTCCGAGTTCCCCCACCTATTTCCATCTGGCATGGAGGCGATGATCAAAGCTACCAAAGGAGTGGGTGTGAGGGGGAGTGCTCAGAGTAAGAGCAGTACCCTCTCTGCCAAGAGTATCATCACTGATTTGGACACTGTCAAACGGGGAGAGAAAAAGATTGAGGACACGATGAAGTTAAGTCACGTGATGGACCTAGTCAGAATGTTCCAGGTAAAATTTCTAAATCTAGAATGATGATATTTTGCAAAGTTTTTTGCGCAACAGGTAATTTTTGGAATATGAAGAATTTTTGGAACTACAAACAATTTTCATTAATCATAATTTTATCTTAATGACCAATTAAACTTGAACAAAGGTAGCAGACAATAAATTATTCTGTCATTTTGCCTTATATGAAGTTCTACCTTTTACACCATTCTACCTTATGTCAATAAACAATCTAACCAATTCACTCTAGGTTTACTTTGATATTTTATCATGTCACGTGTTAGGGGCATATATGGAGAAATTAATGTTTTTGAGTCCGACCATGTATACTCAAATTCAGTCTTGATTCATGCATATGAACACTGGGCAATTTGTGGGCACTCGATATAAAAAACTTCGAGCAAAAAACTGGCATTAAGCTTAATTAAGATGTTTTAGTTCCCCTTTCTTGCTAGGTATCTATGGTATCTGCTTAACAATCTCCCCCTCCCCCCTATGAATAAATTGAATAAATGCAGTAAATTATCACAGAGCTTTCTATTGCGAATTTTATTTTGCTGCATTCTGATTGGTCGAAAATTCGACTGTTTTATTCTACTTAGCAATTTCCCCCCTTTCTTAAAGGGGGGGGGGGGGGGGTTGTTAAGTCGACCCGCAAAAACCCAGTGTTCACTGCGCATGTCCAAGTTGAAGCTCACAATTACATTCCTGATTTTAGATATCATTATTCCACCTGTTCGAGAATTGAATCGTGAAACAAATAAGCTGCGACTTACAGTTTTAAAACGATGGAATGCACAGAAAAACTCTTTACTTTTATGTCTATTTATGTGCAACTACTGTAAAATGGGGCGTCTAACCGGATTGAAATTAGACAAAAATGCCCCTTTGACTGGTGACTGTATCACCCAAAAAATGTGTTCAAATCGTATTGGTGAAAAGTACAAAATTTCATGCATTTCATTGATTTTTTTCAGCAGATCAATTTGACAAAAACATAATTTGTTTTCGTTTTTCTTTAAAAATAATAATGTATTTACAATGCACCTTGATAAACCGCAGAGCTTGAAAAGGACAATAAATATGCCCAAAAATTTTTCAGGAACACGTTCCTACCACCTCCATAGACCCTTTAACGTACCAAGAGGGGGACGTAATCCAACAGCCAGGAATGATGCTACCCGACGAATTCGAAACTTGCGTCAAGCGAGCCATGGCCATCGAATCTTCCGAGTGGGACGAAGAAATTGAGGTGTTATTCAAAAAAGTCGACAGCAAAAGCACAGGGTATGTGTTACTCATGGATTTTGTGACCTACATGCTTCAAAAGTACCTGGAACGAGATAGTATGGAAGCGCAATTGAAGAGCCCGTTCCAAAGCAAGCCTAGGATTCGACTTTGCAGACATAATCACCAGGAGCCGACGGTGAAAGTAGTGTTGATTAGGAACCCAAGTCGATATGTATCTTTCTCAAAAGAAGGTTTGTGAATTTTTGTTCTTTCTGCTCAGCCGAAGTTACCAACATTTACATTGTCAAGTGTTATAATTATAATAATAATCATAATAATAAAAATAACAAGAAGAAATAATAAACTTCTGTTGTTTGTGAGAAAACAAATCAGCCGAAAATTTATCAGGATTTTATCGAATTCACAAGGAAATTGTCAAATTCAGTATGAGAAAACCTCAGTATGAGAATTCGCGGTTGTCAACATGTTTTTTTCTGAAGTGAACGGAAAAAAAGAAATCAACAGGCAAAAAATCAACGAAATTTTTCGAATTCTTATAATGGCGTTTCTTAGCAACAATATATGATAATTTGAGATGGAGTACACACCTAAAAAAAGCTTTGGCGTCAAAATGTGCTAATTTTGAGGGGGCAGCGCGCGTCGAAAAAACGCGATTTTTTGGGCAAAATTTTTCAAAAAGTTCCTAAAAACGCCTTTTTTGAACCGTTTTTAAAAAAATTTGCCTGCGGTGGAGAAAATTGGGTTGAAATGGGGTCTTTATAGTGATTTGGGAGATCTCAGAAAACCAATTTGGTCGACCTAAAAAAAGTCGACAAAAATTTCACCTTTTTTTTGAAAATCCGCCCCTGTCTATAAGCCCCTGTCTATAAACCCCTGTCTATAATGATGACATAAATGCTTCGATCATTGTTGGAGGGGACGCAGTGTCATTCGCCTCCTCAAGGTCGGACCGGCTGCGGCGAAATGGCTGATATTTCCCTCCCCCACGGAGTAAAATGCCCAAGGTTGAAGGGTGGGAGCTGGGCTGGGGGTTAATAAAAAACAAAAATAACGCGTAATTAGTTGGTGTTATGACTTTGAAGTGACCTCTATAGGTGAGTTTGGAGTGTGGGACCAGCACGAGTTATCATTGGGCAAAGTTTACAGAGTAGCAACGGAGCAACAGGACAATGGCAACAAGAAAATGGTCCACAAAGTGTGGGTTATGGACGTCATAGTTCTACCCGACTGTGGAAAAATGGCTGTGTCCACAACTGGTGAGTACAAGCGACATAAATTTAGAAAACTGGATTTTTTGTAAAATTTATTATAAAGACCTTATTTTACGTATGATTATAAAGTTCGGTTGATTACATGACTTGTATTTCACAAGTCTTGTAAACTAAAAGTTTTGTAATTTACAAATCTTGCTAAAATACAAATATTGTATCTTACAAGGTGGGCATTTACAAGTCGTTTACAATTCCAATTTACGTGAAATGAGAAATTTAATGAGAAAATCGAAAAAAATGTTTGTAGTAGGAGCAAAAATGGAAGCAGTTTTTCTCAACCCTGAGGTAACTTAATTGATTTTTTTCGAATCCAAATCACAGCTGAAAAGACTTTTATACGATACCAAATTTGGCTCTTACGAGTTTTCATGGAGCTAGTCAAAATCGGGACCAAAAAAAAACATCCTAATGAAATAGTCGAATCAATGAAAAAGGACAATTTAGCGTGTTCATTTTCAAAATTTGTATTTTTTAGTTTTGAGGGAAAATCAGAGAAATTTCGGAAGCAACGAAAAAAACTTTAAAATTACTTGAAAAGTGATTTTATTATAACAGTTTCCTAATTTCACAACAGGCCGTGACATTCGTTTCTACGACATCTCGTCGGCTGTGATCTTTGAGGAGTTCCAGTTGTACGGACTGAGTCACGTGGTCACCTGCTTTGACTACCACTGCAGCACCAACTTCAGAGTTCAGACAGATTCCATTCTTACCACAGGTAACTGGCTCATGTAATTTATTCTTTTCATAAAAGTGATTAAAGTAAATCATAGATTGGCTTGAAGATAAACACTAATTGGCTGAACAATAAAAAAATTAGACTGGCCTGTGACAATTTTTGACTCTAACTTCTGATTAAATTTTTGTTGCATACATGAAAAATCGCACTTTTTTTCAGAATTCGTTTTTTTTTTCATTTTGTAAATTCTCGTTTTTGTCCCGAACATCTGAAAAATTGAGAAGAACTTTGTAATTGGGTGTTTTTTTTGTTTTCCACGCATAATCAGCTACCACAAATAACAATCAGCGAGAGTTGAGTGATATATCTTGTTCAAGTCCTTACAGTCGTGATTCGAACGACATTAAAAAATTCAAATTTTGTTTTAGTGTCAAGCAAAACCGGTTCAATATTTTTTGTTTTTCGTCTTAATTCAAACGAATAAAGCGAGCGAGCAGGCTTACAATAGTTTATTTTAATGGCTTAAAGATTACAATAGCTTAACTTAAAAAGTAAAAAATTTAGTTTTACTCGAGTAACGTTAGTTTTTTTTAGTATTTCAGCGCCTTTTTGGAATCGTAAACTTCAATAAATGCAAAAAAATGAAAAAATTTTTGAAACTTTTGTTTTATTTTTTTTTTAATTTTTCTAGTAGTTTTTCTACAACATTATGTTTTTCAATTTAATTATTTTAATATGACTAGTCTTTTGTTCAGCTCCTTTTATTACACCACGCCGAAAAAAACAACGACCGTAATCCGTAATTTGAAAAAAAACTTTGATTGTATTTTTTCAAGACTTTGGTCGGAAAGTTTTGTGGTACTTGCCCAGTAACCGGCTATCTTTGTGACGTTTTTTTCTTAATTTGTCATAGGAGTAGGAAAGAGGGTGCCTTACAGCTCAAAGCAAAACTATTAACCTCAGTTTTGGAACATAAAAGGTTTTTTCTTTATTTGCTCATTTTGTATTTCAAACTTTGAGACTGTTTAGAAAAAAACTTCAAATTTCTTGTTTTTTTTCCACAGTTGACAAAAATATGAAAAACTTAACTATTAGGTTTGCTTTTGTTTTTAAGTATTTACTTTTAAAGTTTACGTATAAAGGTTATAAAATTTAATTGAGAGTTTTCTTTTTTTTCTACTGCGAGTTGCCTGTTTTTTGCTCCGACCATTGAAAACTTTTGGGTGTGTTTTAGCTTATTTTTCTTCAGTTTTTTTTTTACAAAACCAAGTACAACAGATAATCAACGGAATGGCTTGATTGCTATATCATTTTAATGTATTTTCAGTCTTGATTGCAGCGATTTCAAAAAAATTTGAAAAAAAAAACAATTACTAGTTTTGACTACTAGTAAAATTTCGAGCGAAAAAAGTGAGCGAGCAGGCATATCATAAAAGGATAAGCCGTTAAACTTTTATTCAAGCCCTGAAAACTGTCTTCCTCCTTTGAAGTAGTTTATCGAATTTTATAGCACCCATTTGGAAATTGAAGTTTTGAAAAATTAAAAAAAAAATTACATTTTTTGCAAAAAACAGTTGAAAATTAAGAAAGCATTTAAGATTTTTTGATGTTTCTTGTTTTTCTAGTCATTTTTCGAAGCAAACTTTCGTTCAATATGAATATGCATGTGTTACTATGACTACCGTGTTCTGTCTAAATTTGAGACTTTCGTTCGGATCCTTACATCACATTGTGCACAAATATAACACTAATTTGAAAAAAAAAGAAAAAAAAATTGTAAATTCGGTCGGAACATTCTGTGCTTCTTGCACGGCAACCGGCTTTACTTGTTGCGAATTGTCTTTTGCGAGTTTTTGTTTTATGTGAAAAAATCATCCCAAAAAAGCATTGTTTGTTTCTTTTTCTTGGTTGACTTGCCAAAGAAAACTGACCTGTGAATTTGTCCCGATTTCTGCAAATTCGTTTTATAATGGTGTCGTTGAAATCACATGAAGTGAGTTGATTTTCGTTTGAAAATTATAAACAAAGACAAATAGTTTGAACTCAAAGAATTTGAATGTCACCTGTTGTTTTGACAAATTGGTAATTTATAGGTTCACATTGGGCTAGTTAAGTAACTTTGATTAATTTTGTTCAAAACTCAACTTTTTGTGGAATAAAACCGGTTTTTATTGCAACGGGTCTGGTAATGTGAAATAAAATGCACAGTCGTTAAAATAAGTATTAGATAACTTTCAATAAGGCAATATATACTTCAGAATTGGGCGAATTGTTTGGAATATTTGATCACTTCTGAGATAATTTATTTAGCTCTTAATTTCAACTATACTCTCCAAGAAAGTATATATTTGATTCCCTTGGCTAATCCCTCTCGCATTGAAATGCACAGTAACTGGTTAACCCATACGTCGTCAAACTGTTTCATGGAGCGAATAAAGGCGATCAATAAACCTAAAAGTTTCCGTGCAGAATTCAGACGTTAGATTTTTAGAAAAATGTACCCAATGACACGTGCTTCGCATTTTTTTACAGAAAATATATTTTGGTAATTTTCATTTTAAATAGAAATGGCAACCTTTTCAAGGAATGCAATAAGTATTTTAAACATTCGAGCTGAAATATGGAAAAATGAGATTGAATCTTAAAAACAACATTTCGCCAAACATGAATTTCAATGAAGGGACCAAACTAACATCCTCCGCCTCCCCCTTGAAGCGCTTTAGGGGGAATATTTTATTTTTCCCATTAAACTATTAATCATCCACTCATTTTTAGGCTATTTGTCTCTTCGCTTTATCAGCATATCTCTCTTTGCGTTTTCATGGGAATCCGGATTTCACCAGGAAGTTATATTAGCTCATGATTGACAGCGTGATAATTGAAAATCAAATTTCACCCGTCATTAACTTGATTCGCATATCTTGTTCAGCATTGCAGGAGATTTTTTTCACATTGACAATGATCAAGCATGTCTCGTTTTTTCGTCTTTACATTGAGCAAAAACTGATTCCAATTTCGCATAAAATAACAAAAAAATGCTTCATTATTTTTATTGGAGTATATGTTATTCTGAAAGAGATTAAATAAGATGTTTTTATGGCAATAGTAAGATTTGAGTTCAACTTATTTGTGAGTTAGGTGCTAGAGTTCGGTTGGCCGTTGAAGTTGGAATTGTGACCCGAATTTCACCCATTCCCCAATGGGGGTTTTTGTTTCCGACAGTTGAAACCTCAAAGTGTCCAAGAATTTATTTGGGCGCACCAAAAGCATTAAAATTTCTCGACCATATTAGGATTAAGTAGCTGCCGGCATCTCTGCTGCGCGGACGAATCTAAATTTCTGGCATGAGCGGATGATTTTCGAAAAGTATCCATTATGCTATTTTCCTTCCCAATAGTTCCGTCTTGTCCATAGTTTTGCCGATAACAAGCCACCAATTTATGAAACCTGTGGGTTTTCTGATGACGCCTTTGGCGCCTATATATTACCATTTTGGGGAGGCAACTATGATCTGGTACCAAAAACAAATCATCCAAAAATATTAGGTACCAAAAATTAGGTACCAAAAACAAATCATCCGTATATTCATTTAGCGTTTCTTTGATAATCAAGTTTTTTTCTTTAAAAAAAAAGAAAACTTTTGTGCCAAAAATGAGAATTTTTCTATTTAATTTTTAAAAATTTTTTGTTCTTCATTCATTTTTTGAAAACATATGTTGTCGAATATGCCCAATTCAGTTCTTTTTGTGTAGTTATTCAATGATACCCCGCACTAAAAAGGACACTAATTAAAAGAAGGGAAAAAGAAAAGGTCTTTGTGTAGTTTTTTTTGAGTGTGGTCGGAACACTCTGTGCTGCTTGGCGCAACTACCAGCTATCCTTGCTTTCATCGTTTTGTGTTTCCTAGGAGATGATGGCGGTCGAATTTTCCAGTACTTCTTCCGCCAGGCGAGGAACAAACTCTTCGAGAAACCCCCCAGACAAGCGAAAGGACAGAAAACAAGGGTCTACATTAACGACATCAAGGTACATCCTTCAAAAACTGAACAGGCAATTTTCGGTTTAAACTATGTGCTAGGATATTTTTTATGTGATTTATATTTTTCAATACAAACTTCCAATTAGAAAAATGGAAAATCCTTTAATCAATTTTCAGCTGCTAATCGTGTTCCAAAAACATGTTAAAAGTTCCGATAATCGAGACAAAAGCGGTCTGAATGTTTAAATTAGCAGTGAGTTTTTGATTGAATAACACAAGTTTATTGCACTATTACAAATCTTGAGACATTATTCCAGTCCACTTCTACCTAAATAAAGAAAAGAATAAATGTTCAGTAGTTATTTGCATGGTTTAGTTTGGTTTGAACAGTCTGTCGTACTTGCGGAGTTGTCGGCTACCATTGGCTTAAATACTTTTTCCCAAAAATTGTTTTAGAAACAAAACTTCGATAAAAAACAAAATAACCAATCAATGATTTAAATCATAATGAAAATCTCACACAGGCACGACAAGAGCAGCCGATTGCCAAGAAAGTAGCACAAGTTCTCCAGGCAAAAAATTTTCAAAAAAACTACAGAAAAATGATGGATTAAAATTTTTTTAAATGTTGGCTGTTCAATTACCAGTTCAGAATTTGTAATTTCCTTTTAAATTTCATATTTTTTTTCATTCGAAACTTTAAATGGCCTAAAAGGTTGTGACATCTTCTATATTGGCATGGTAGCTCCATAGTGCGTCATTTGTAAGACTAAAAAAAATATTTTCACGCTGAAGTGGACTTTTAAACTTCATTTTTCTTTTTTGTTCCGACCATTGAATTTGGGGAGGAAATTTGTACTCGGGTGTTTTATTCCCTTTTTTGTTTTGCACTCGAAATCAGCTGCCACAAAAATTATCCGAAGAAGGCGAGTGGTATACCAAATTAAAGCCGTTTCAAACGTGGGTCGAACGACACTAAAAAATTTCAAAAGTTTTCTCCGTATTCAGAAAAAATGATTTAGTATTTTTTTTTCAACTTTGACCGAATCAACGAGCGAACAGACTTGCCACAACTAGTTTGAGCTTAATTCAAACCCTGAAAACTTTTTTAAAGGAAATAAAAGTAATTTTTGGAATTTTTTTGGCGACATTCTGGGAACCAAAAAGTTATTTCGATATTTTTTGCAAAACAAATAACTAAAAAAATAGAAAAATTTAACATTTTTTCATTTTTTTGTTTTCTAGTAATTTTCTGCAGGAATTATCCATTTTGCTTTATTACTATGACTGTCGAATATGCCTTCATTGTAGTTTTACGTCAGATCCTTCTATCCCACCACGCACAAAAGACTAAACAAATTTGGGAAAAAAAAATTAAAATTTGTAGTTTTTTTAAAAGTATGGTTGGAACATTCTGTGCTACTTACGCAATTACTGAAAATCCTTGTGTATTTTTGCTTATGTTCATAAGTCATCTCTTGTTTCGGTTCATCGATTCAATCCAGCAGTTAAGGCCCAGGTTAAGGCCAATAATTATCGATCTCAACATTATTTTTCTATCAATGTTTTTTGACACGGTCGCGATCTGAAAGTTTAGGTAGATGTAGTGCTTTTTCATGAAGTTCCTTTTCAAAAGTTTTTCGTTTTTGACATCCTGTTCATTGATTGGCTAGTTCGCAGATGTTTGTGAAGTATCTTTGTTATGGTTGATTTTCTCAGAAATATTTTTACTATATTTTTGATTCTTCTTTTTTTGCATAATTATCAATATTTTTAAGAAAAATTGTATTCATTTTTTACATAATAATCAATGTTTTTAATAATGGTTGTACAATTATTATGCAGAGGCCTCTTTATATAGTTCTGATTTGAATTATCAGGACAGAACGAACAAAACTTGAAATTTCAAACGCGATATTCTCAAATTGAGTGAAGATTAGACAAAAAGTCAAGAAAACGATTTTTGCTTAAAATTGGATCAGAATTAAAAATGTTGCCTTATTTCTCAAAATATTTTAACCAAAATTTCACCTGATTAGTGGTTTATTTTAGTTTTTCTTTTATTTGATCAAAGTTTACGCTGCAACTACCAAGTTAATTGATGAGAAAGTTATAACAAAAGAAGTCTCATACTCAATATAAAAGTCAAAAACTTTTGCTAAAACGAATTTCAAACGTTTCACGCAAATTGTTGAAAAATTACCCATCTAAAACTTTGTTGGGCGGTGTAAGAGGCTTTGCTTTGTTGAAATAATTGTTTCATCTTTTATACTGGTAGTTTCAGCTTAACTCTTGATTAATAAAAAAAAGCCATTAATGACCCATTTTCGGGGTACAATTTTGGTTAAGAAATTTGATTTTAAAATGCACCATATTAATTCTGGTCAAATTCATAGCAAATTTTGTTCTTTTCTCATTTTGTCTAATCTTGATCCAATTTGAGAAAAACGCGTTTAAATTTTCAAATGTTCGTGGCGTCCGTTTAATTTAAATCAACACTGTATATCGCGTGTTAATTATCCCAATTTGGCTAAATTTGCAATATTTGAACCCCCATAACTCTACTACAAATGATATGATCAAGGTAGTTGAACAAAAAGTGAAATGAACAAAAGTTGCTCAAATTTTCACTAGAATTTAAAAAAATTCATTTTTTTTCCGGAACTGGCGACCAAAATTTTATTTTCCGAAACTGGTGACCAAAATTTTATCTCAAATTTTAAAGAGTTTGGGTTTTTTCATTAATCAGGAATGCCGCTGAAAGAACCGAGTTAATTCATGAGAAATTTATATCAACAGAAGACTCTTACTTAGACCAACGAAGTTCTAGAAAGGGAAAACCTCCAACAGTCTGTATAGGAGAATAAATTTTTGGTTGATAGCCAAAAAAGATCATTTTTATTATATAAAAGATATATATTTTACTATCTTTGCTTATAAACAAGTTTCACAAATTTCAAATTTTTTGCACAATTTTTCGAAAATTTTAGCTTCAAGATTTCTTAAGCTTTGTAAGAAACTTCTTTTGTACCACTTTCTCATTAATTAACTCGGTAGTTTCAGCCCAAATCCTGAGTTACTAAAAAGCCAAAATGAGCCATTTTGTGGTAAGATTTTGGTTACGTATTTCAAAAAATCAATTGCACCTTATTACTGGTAAATTGTGAAGCAGCCTTTTTAATCTTCTTTGTCTAATCTCGATCCAATTTGAGAAAAACGTGTTTGAATTTTCCAATGTTGTTTGTTGTGTCCGGTTAGTTTAAATCAGCACTGTAATTGCTGGTGAATTTTTTTCATCAACTACACGTTTCCTTTCTTTTGTTCTGGGCGCTCAAAAATTTTTTCTAAGTTTGTCAATTCAGAATCCAAATTGCAAATGAAAGGTTTTCAATATGATAAATCAGATGATCAAATAAAAAACTTTCTGAGTAACCGTCACGAGAAAAAGAAGTTGCAATTTTTAGTTTTCGACCAATGATATCACCTAAACTGTTCATCATAAATGGATGAAACTGCCTAAAATAGTTTTACGAGTCGATCAAAAACAGAAAAGGTTGCTTTCAAGTCTTTTGTTTGGTCGCTCATTCGAAAAGTTTACCAGAGATGTGTTCTTGATGTCAAAGAGTCCAATCGAGTAACTAGAAAAAGGTACTTTGAACTTAAAAACTTCATTGGAGAGCTAAGTTTCTCAGTTAATCCCTCGTATGAGATCCAATCACATTTAAGCAATTGAAATCTGCGTAAAAACAAAATACGTCTTTTTTTTAGTAGGCGAGTTCTTTTTTGTTAAGACAAACTTATGCGAGGGTCTGGCTAAATTGTTTAGCTTTCCAATCAAAATTGTTAGATACGAAAATATCAAACACTTTTTTACAAGGTTTCTTCGACACCCAAAACAACTCTCTGACGAGCTTCGATTGAAAGGTCAAACAACGACTTGAAGACATGAATTTCAAAAATTTACTGAGAAAACTACAAAAATATGATAAAAAGTTTCGTTCATTTTATCGGTTGAAAGCTGGAAGGTACATTTTTTTTGTCCGTGATTGTGATCCAAAACCAATCTAAGACTCGATTATATTTCACAATCCTTCAAAAATGAGCGGATATAGATTTTTCTGGTAATCAATTTAATCTAAAAGGTTGTTTGGGTGATGGTATAGTTGTTTCATAAAAAAATTCTTCCTTTTTTCCAGGCACAGGCTATGTGTGTCAGGGTGGAGGAACTTCTGAACAAAGAAGAGGAGAGGTTCCACGATGAATCCATCAGAGCTGTCAGATACTTCACAGGTTTGTCAAGTTCAATTCTTAAACAAGCAATTACATTGAGCAAAATAAAAACAGTTTAAAGGATTATATGTATATTATATCTTATAAACTGTTTTTTTTATTTCTGTTTTTTTTTGTAAATTATTGTTTGCTAGAACCAATTTATAAGATATTTTTTGTTGCTATTACAAAGTTATTATTTTGTTATTATGATAAAATGGAAAAAAATTGCTTTTATTTATAATTAAGTTGTTGAAGCATTTTATCTTTTTGTATGATTTTCAATACAACTGATTTCATACCTTCAGTTCTGGGTACGAATTTAAATCTAACCCTGAATATTAAATCTTCAGTTTGCGAAATGGCATTTAAATGTTCTTTTTGTAAATATTTTGGTGGATGATTTTGATGCAACAGATTTCAATTTTTGTTTTGTACGAATGTCCTGAAGTTGTAAATCAAAACCTGAATATTGAAACTTCATTCTTTATAACGAAATTTTACGCCAAATTCATTTTAACCAAATGGTATTAAATGTTTATTGGTAGTTTTTTTTTGTAGACAACCACGTGATTCTTTCTACGAGCGGGAGCTCAAATTCTTCCGTCGTCATCGCAGACAAGACCAAAACCCGAGCCCCTTACATTTGGAAGATCGACAAAGGCGTTGAGTGTTTTGACCTCAGCCGTAAACACGACCTCCTAGTCACTGGATCAGTAGACCATTTCGTCAAGTTTTGGAACCAGTACGTCCCGAATCGCCCTCTTGCGGTGCTGAAAGGCCACGTGGCGACGATAGTCGGAGTCGCTATAATCGAAGACCTCGGCTTTGTTATCAGTTACTCCGAAGACGCTATCATAAAAGTGTGGCATCTTAATGACTACAAATGCGTTGACACAATTGATCTCCACTTTCAGTGTTTAGAGAACCGAGCTCCCGAACATGGAAACTTCCCACTCTCGTTTTTCCCCTCGCTTAACTCGTATCTGTTCACGTGTAACGACTACATGGCCGAGTTGAAAGTGGGGACTTTCCATAACTTCCTTATGGATTACGTGGTGACGCATGCTTCGCCGCTTTGTGGAGCCATTTATAATCAGGTTTGCAATTTTCTTACTTTTCAGATTTTTTCCTCTTTTCAGTCTAAGTACTTTTAGCCGTCAAATTATGTTGAAATTAATCTTAATTCGATTAATTTGAATTGAAAAGTTTTTTTTGTGTAGCTTGAATTTTGTACACTGCCTGTGAACGTGTTATTCAAAGTATTATTCAATCTGTATTGAAACATCATAAGAGCATTCAGTGTTTTTTTTTCATTTCTTCCATTCTTTTGGTTCGATTATTTGCTTATGCAATCCTAAACTTTCATATTTTTAAATTCAAACGTTTGGCAAAGAAAAAGTCTTAAGAAAAATTACAAGCATCAATCATTTGTTTGAGGAATCATTGACTAAGAAAACGCTGATAAAAATGTTCACTTTAGGCATCAAAGTCACCGGATTTCCACGGACACGTGGTGACTGCGTGTGATGATTCGGAAGTGGCTGTTTGGAACTCGGAGACGGGAAGTAATGTCACTCGGTTCTACAAAGCACACGACAACGAAGAGATCACGGCACTCAGTAAGGAACTGTCAAATTATTATGATGGCAATTCTTTTTTTCGGTCACGAAATTGACTATCATAAAACTTTGGATGACTTCTCTCTCCCCTACGGAAAAAAATGCCCTAGGCTGAATGGTGAGAGCTGGGCAAATAAAAAACTATCAAAATACTGTTTTGAAATTCGACACCAAATTTTACGGGATTCACAGTATGACACCCGTAATAAATATATATTTGAAAGGTTTTATTCTTATAAGCATCGTTTTATGATCAATTAAAAAGTGTAAAGTCACCGATATTGCCATCAAAAATGTATAATGAACTTAAATTTCAGCTTTAATTGATCATGGGTTCAGACTGTTCGAGATTCGAGATCCTTAGCGTTTCAGCATTTTGTCGCGCTGCCGATGATAGTTTAAGGTTGTATAGTTATGGGCTCTTTTCCTGTTTCCACTCTCGTAAAACTATTATGTTATGGTCTAAAAATTGATCATACAGCATAGCAATTTGCAGGTTTGAAATTTTGTACAAATCTGTTCATTTTGTTCACATCAATTTTTTTGTTCTTAGAAATCAGAGAAAAAATTTCTAACAACTAGCAGAATTTTCAAAAAAGTTTTGGAATAGTTTTCAGCAAAAATTGAAGGGGGACTAGGAAAGAATCTTTGAACATTTCAGGCTTCGATCAGAAGGGCGAGCGACTGATTACTGGGGGGAGGGACGGGACAGGGAAGGTGTGGTACTACCAGTCGGGGGTGCTAAGTCACGTGCTCCTACCCACAGAAGACGCCGCCGAGGTTACCTCCATTACTCCCGGTGAGATTTTGAGGCACATATTTTGGATGGTAAGCTCGGCTGCCAAACCACTTTTTTCTTAAGTAAGTATTATTATTAAACATTTCCTTGGCACAAAATAGAATCAATTATGTGATCAAGTTCATGCTAAAATCTGAGGTAAGCACCGAAGCGGACAGCCTAAAAAGTCATGCAATTAATAAACGAGGTACTACTCCCTTTAAACGAGGTACTACTCCCTCCAAACTGAATTGGTAAGAAATACTCATGTGAAGTGTGATAAGTCATTGGTTATGTCATTGGTAAGTAATTAGTGATAAGTCATTGGTTATGTTTGGTTTTAGTGCAGCACATGGGGAAGCCGGTGATCATAACTGGGGGTTGGAATCGGAAGATTGTGGTGTATGCTGATGATGCGGAGACAGAGAGGGTGCAGGTGTGCGGCAGGGAGAAGTGGAAGGGTGGACAGCTTCACAAAGGTACTTTTATACTTGATAAATTTTGGAAAAATTACGTAGTTTTTCTAAAAGTTTCTTTAATACTAAATCCTTTTTTTCTAAATCTCGCACACTCTTCAAGAATTTCGCATTTTTTTCTCGAGAGGCAAGATTCTGCCACAATGGCCCACTTAAACCGAAATTTAGATTTTTTGATCTCATTTTGACACCTTGAGGGTATGATGAAATGGGCCAGCGCAATAATTTGTTACCTGATGCAATAGTTGGAATTTTGTTGACTAGATCATCAAACTTTAGTTGATTATTTCCTCGTACGCATACTTGGAAAGCAATTCTAGCAATACTCTTGCATAAAATAAAGATAAAATATTTCAAGAATCTTGCAAACAAGCAAGACAAATGCATAAACGAAATTCTGGCAAAAATCTTGCTAGATTTTGCATTTTGACTACTTGGCAATTATCAAATCCTTTCGGATGTTAAAGCTAACAAAATTGCCTTATTGTATCAGGAAACCAATCGCAGAACCATTTAATATCTCAAAAAAACTCTTTTAACTTGGCAAAACGGTGATTTAGTACTGAACTTCTGGATTATTTTTTCCTTTGTCTTAGAAATCGGACATCGTGAACAGAAGTTTTTCTACTTAGAAATGATTTTTATGGGAACGAAGGGAGTGAAAGTAAAAAAGACCACAGCCAACTACTTATGTTGTTTTTGTGCCCGGTAGATGACATTCTGTCGATGGACATCTGCTACCCGTGGATGGCCAGCTGTTCATTCGACGGGGAGTTGATCCTGTGGCACTCGGAACAGGAGACAGTTGAGGGCAGACTGCTCCGAGGGGGATACGACACTGGCGAGAACAGAGACCAGATTCTGGAGGTAATGTTGAAACAGATTCAAAAACAATCGGCATTTTTTTCTGCATTTTTTATAATTATTTTCTGTCGTTATTCTGTTATTGTTTTTTTTAAAGTTCTATTTCCCAATCTCACTAATGCAACACTTCAGATGCAATTAAACCGGATTTTTGGTCAATCAAATATCAAAAATATAAGATAAATGATGTCAGTTTTGCGGTACAGTTTCAACGATTAACCCACAACACAATTTTGATATTTCAGGCCGGAATGAAAGCAGCGAACATGGAGGCCAGTAGACCGGCAACCAGACAGAGCAGGCCCTCGACCCACGCCAGTTCGAGGAGCTCCAGGTCCAGACCTAGCTCCAGGCACCGCAGACAGTGGGCTCAGACACCCATCTCAGGAAGGCTGCCTATTGATAAGGTTAGCTTCATGTGCATAGAACAGAACATTATGAAAAGAATATTTTACTTCTCCGTAAAATTACGAGCAGTCATCTTCACTGCGATGAAACTATAAGCGATCAATCCGAAAATGTCTCAAATGTGACTTGCAATTTCGACTCTATTCATGAAGCAAAAGTAAGACGCTTAGGCAGCTAAAAATGAACTCGTAGGTCCAGTGTTGGACCTATCGGTAAAACTGTCCATGTAATTTATTAGAGTTTCTGAACTTCATGTTTATTCCAAAGTTGTATTGAGTAACAATGAACGAATTGAGGACAAAACTTTCAAAAACTTCTGCTTCACTCACGACCAGTTTAAACCCCTCCCCCACAGGTAACATTCCCCCCACCCACACTCCAACAAAGATCAGCAAAAACGAGAAGCTAACAATTCATGAGAAAATTCGTAAAACAAAAAACATAAAAAACGATAAGTATTTTTCAGCCAAATCGAATATCGATTTATTAATTCAAAAAAACTGTTTAGTTGAATATACTGCATTGTTTTTGAAGTTTTTAGAAAAAATTTTTTTCTAAAAGGATAAATGGATTATAATCCAGTTTTTAAGGAAAAATGGGTTATAATCCTTTATAATTGATAACAATCCTTGATTTTAAACTATTAAAAAGAAATTTTTTTGTATTGAAAAAAAATGATTTATAATCCATTTTAAATCAATTATAATCGATTATTTTTGAATTTTATAGAGACTGACAATGAAAATCCATTATATTTGATTATTATCCATGAAACTCCAGTATCGGTGTTAACCAGAATGATAACAGCATTATCTTTTTTAAATACGATAAAAGAAAGCGTCCTTGTTGCAAAATCCGCTTACAATTCACAAAATACACAATATGGCCTCGAATTACTCTAGGAGGTTATTGAGGAAATCAAAAAACTCAAAACCAAACACTTTTTCTGGGACACAATTGTCTCGTACAATTTTATAGTATGGCACAGTTTTGTCAGGGACTTAAGTGTCTGGGACATAAATGTCTATGCACCACTCTTAAAATTTATAACCAATTTAACACTATATTCTTAAAAATGCGGCGATACTCGAGCTACTTAAAATTCTTGTTATCCATAAAATCGGAAAAATGCTGAAACACGGCCAACTCACAGAAGCGGGAAACGGAAAAAATCAAATTGTTCTAAAAACCTTCATATATTTAGCATCCAACCTTGATGAATATACATCTAATGATATTTTGAAAAATTATGTGTTAAAACATTGTATGTACAGGTTTTTAGCAAGTCTTCTCCTTCGAGAAATAAGTTCTTGGCAATGTTTTTGGGAGGAGGGCTCGGTTTTTTTTATAACAAGTTTTGGCAGTAAGATTGATTTTATGAACACGTTAAGAAGCAGTATGGCTAGCATTTTTCTGATTTCACAGCTTTTTCATCATACATAAAAATTAAATTTCTTGTTTTTTCCGGTTATTTTTTAAAAGTTTTTTGTGAGAAATTATCTAAGAAAGCAAATAGCTAAGAGACCACGCGACAAGCTAATAATGTTCTTAGTTTTTCTCTCCCGAGCCAATTTATTTTGTAAGCGTTCAATTTTTCAATTGCTTATATCTCGTTTCAAAACTGAAATATTAGTATTATTCTTCCAATCTTTCTTGAAGAGTGGACAGGAACTATAAATTAGATTCGGTTGTTTTTCAGCCAGCTTTGTTGAACGAAAAGACAAAGAGAGTCAGGTGTGGTGCCTTATTAATGCCCCAATAGATGCTGAGAGAGGTTCAATGAGTTCCACCACAAATTGATCATCTTTTCAGCTACTTTTTTATTCATCAATATTGTGCAATACCTAAAAAATGTTATCTTGTTTGAAAATATTTTTAATCACTCTGGTCGGATCATTCTGTGCGACTCACACGGCAAGTGGCTATCCTGTTTGTTCCGACCTTTGAAAGTATGGATGAACTATATTCGGGTTTGTTTTCGTTGTTTTTTTTTCTTCATTTTTTCGCCATTGGAATGGTATGAAGGATATGTCTTCTTATTAAAGTCATTTTAAAAAGGGCAACAAATTATTCCAATGACGTGCAAAAACCGATTGGAAATTTCTGAATTTTTGTCTAAAATCGAGCGAGTCAAGCGAGTTCAGTTTCGAGCGAGTCTAATTCGAATTTTCGTTTTAAAAAATTGATCATTTAGGCTAAAAAAACTGGATTTTTTAAACGAAAACTGGTTTTGGCAGCTTACTTGTCATCCTTGTTACCTTACCCTGCCACCTTACCTGTAATGAATTATCGCTAATTTGTCAACTTTTTTCGATCAATAAGCGCTATTTAGATTTTTTATGAAATAGCACGGAAAAATCCATGGAAATCTTACTAAGTATGGGTTAGCATATTTTCATTGATAATTATAACTGGGACTTCAACATGGGAGTTCTCTCATCACACCACTCACAAGAAATGAAACTTGTAGAAGAAAAAACTACATATTTTCTAAAGTTGTTTATTAAGGTGGTCGAACCTTCTGTGCTACTTGCACAGCAACAGGCTATCTTTGTTATTTCTTCGTAGCAGCATGAAAAAAATATATAATGATTTCTTAATAATTTTGTGACTTTTATTCATTTGATAATTTTTTCTATCGTTTATTCTAATATTTGATAATCATTTAAAATTTTGGTACTTTTATTAATTTGAAAATTTTTTTCTATTTTTTATTCTAATATATAATAATCATTTAAAAATTGAGTGACTTTTGTTCTAATATTTAATAATATTTTAGAACTTAGGTACTTTCATTCATTTGAAAATTTTTTCTAAATTTTATTCTAATCATTTGATAATTTTGTGACTTTTATTCTAATATTGAATAATCATTTATGAATGTTGTGACTTTTATTCTAGGTGATGTTCCTGAAGAGTCGCGCTACCAGTCTGTCCACTCAGAAGGCGCTGCTGGTGTCGAGTGAGGCCGGATCTCTCTCTTTCTGGCACTGCTTCAACAAAAAACTCTTAGCAAAGTTCTACGCAGCATCCAGGCATGATTCATGATTAAAAAAACACCATCTAGAATTATAAAGAGATGGTTAATGAAAAATTGCACAGAATGTATCGACTAGTTATGTCATTTTAACTAATTTTTGCGATCAAAAGGGTCAGGGGCGGATTTAGGGGGGGGGGGGCAGGGGGCAGACAGTCTTCTCTCAGGGATTCGACCCCCTGCCGACCCAAAGGGTCCACCCTTTAGTACTTTTTAAGAAATCCATTTTTGGTGACGGACCCTAAAATTTTTCTAAGGCGCCCTCGGCGCCAATACATACTAAGTTTGAGATGGAGCAAATTTTCAAAAAATTTTCGAAAATTTTCCAAAAATTTTTTGTAAATCCCCCCCCCCCCCCCCTCGAGAAAATTCTAGATCCGCCCCTGAAAAGGGTATCGAATCAACGTTGAAAATTAACCATTTTTTAAATAGTAATTTCCAATTAATTTCCAACTTTTTTTAAAATTATATATTTTGGGGATATTCCATCTAATTTTTTTGGGACGTAATTGTTTTCATAAATTTTGAAAATTTTCGACTTTTTTCCGATTTCCTTTTTGGTTTTTGCTCAAAAAAGATTTTCTATTATTGTCATTCATAGCGATTTAAGTGTTGCCCAATTTAAAATAAAAACATCAGTTTCATCAAGTGAACTGATTTTAACGACCTAATTTGTTACACAATTTTCAGCATAGAGGTTTTTCAGACCATTTATTATTTCAGCTTTTCTAGGGACAGGATTAAAGAAAAACTTCCAAAAGAAAAAAGCTTCTTCTCTAGATAAAAACTTCTTCTCTTTTGTTTCAGGCCCCAGAATTCAGTTCTGGCTCTGTTTGACGTGGGACCCAAGAGCCAGCTATTAACGGGAGATACAAGAGGTTACATCAGCATCTGGAACATAGTGGACTATGCTGTGAAGCCGACTGGAGAAGTAACCACAGAAGCTCCTCCTCTCCTCAAGAAGTTCAAGGTCATTAGATTGTGTTTTTCCCCAGGGCGCTTTCCCCGACTGGGATTTACTGGTAGAAATTATGTTTACTATGTCTGATTATTATGGAATTGGCATAAGTTCAAACTGGCTAGAAGAATAAATAATAAAAATAATAAATTGTTTGCAAATTAGATTCCATTAAATGTAAAAACACTACATTTACAACTAAATGAAATCTCATTGCGAGAACGCCGTGGAACTATGCAGCTTGTTTTCAGGCGCCTCTGATCCTGATATGACTTCTGTTGTTTTTTGATATCGATAGTTAATCAAGAAATCAATAAAAAGAAGAACTGACGAATTCCCCCCTCCCCCATACCTGCAGATTTTTCACTTTTTTGAATCATTTGTAAGAAGGAGTTGATGTTAATTACTCTTCGTACATAGGTTTAAGAGTTGCCTATGCTGAGGCATGTCTATTATACACTCAAACTTTAATCACAGGAATCCTACGTTTTCTATGAGAGTTTTACTCATTTCAACTCAAATTTTTGTTCCGACTTCCGAAGAAAGTCCGCAATGATTGTGCTTGGGTGTTTTTGCTCAGTAAATATTCAATTTTTAACTCATCTGAAAAATTTTATAGTCCGTAGCTCAAACGAAAAAATTCACCTGTGATCATTCTTTGTTATGGGGGGTTTGGAAATTGATTACTTGGCTCATAGATAAGATTAACGCGCGATATATTGCATTCCTCTAACACGCGTGAATTGCGGGTTAATTCATTTTATATTGAATTGAGGTAAATCTTTTGATCTTATTACTAGGGCATGAGACTCGAAATACATCCTTTCGTATCTTACATAACAAGAGGGGGATAGGAAAAATTTTTGTTCACTTTGTCCGATTGTTATGAGAATTGACATGCAGACAAATTAGGCTATGAAAAACTTCTTTGGTCTTCATTATTCACATTGTTGAATCAACCGTTACAACATAAAAAAGATGCTCGTTTGAGGTTGGGGCGGGGGAGGGGAGCAGAAAGAACCAACGTTTTTTGCTTAATTTTTGTGTCATGTGTATTTTTTCAATTAGTTGATCAAATATTTTTTAAAAACTTTCTCAATTGGCCTTAACGTGCAGTCGGGAAGTTTTGGTTTTGCTATGATATACGAGTTTTATGTTACCATTTTCAAAATATTGAGAAATATAAACGCTCAGAATGAGTTTTGGCTCTTTTTCTTCTCCTTCCCACCTGCCGATTGATACCGTACTATTAGCCAAATATTAATATATCAAAAGCTATTGGAGACCAAATAAATGGCAGTAAGAATTATTCGTGATTCGAACGACATTAAAAATTTTTCAAAAATTGTCCCCGTATCGAGAGAAACATATTTAATTTTTTGATTTTTAGTGGAAATTCGAGCAAATAATGCGTGAGATCAGGCTTAAAGTAGCTTTTTTTAGCTTAATTTAGTCCGTTAAAACTTAGTTTCACCCAAATAAAGTAATTTTTAGAGTTTTCTCTAACACCATTTGGCAATTAAAAACTTCAAAATGTCAAAAAAAACTTTGATTTTTTTTGTTTTCTGTCTTTTTTTTCCAAAATTTTTGCCTATTTTACTATGACTATCGGATTTTTTGAAGTCCAGTTTCTCGTTCGGATCTTTTTATCACACCACGCAGAAAAAAACGCCACTAAATTGAAAAAAAAATGTGTCTATTCTTTTAGTCTGTCGTCGGAACTTGCTGTGCTACTTGCACACAACCAGCTATCCTTGTTGCATTATGACAACGTTGAAATAATTCAAACTTTTGTGCGTCCGAGGATTGGAAAAGAATCCAAGTTTTCTAAAATTGGCCAACCGTGGACAATAATCTGAATTTTGGCCCTTTTTTAAGAAATTGGGCAATTGTTAAGCAGATTAAGTTGTTGATTTTTTGACCGCTCAGATTGCAGCAAAACTCGAGTGTTAAATGCAAGGATTTAGTGCTAAGTTGCTTCTTTTATTTGAAGGGGTGGCATTTCTTTAGCAGATACCAAAGGGAGGGCGATTATTAAGAAGATCTTAATTTTGATCTAATTTAGGCCCACTACCATGCAGTTGTGAGTGTGGAATGGTTCAAACACTCCTCAGGTGCCAGCTTCATCATCTCAGCCAGCAGTGACAGAGCGGCCAGAGTGTGGAGTTACGGGGGAGCCCAACTGGTCGGAACATTCGGCCAGATTGGCAAATGGGATTTAAAGGACACTTCGACTTGGAATCAGGAGGGCTTGGATTTGGTCAATAACACTACACTAAGCAAAAGCACTACTTTTGTGTTAGTCCAACAAGATTGTTTATGAACCCTCAATGTTATGTTAATAAAACAGATGAAACAAACTGCAGAGGAATGAAATCAGATTAGCCGGTTGTTGTGTTCCCATCGAAAAAATTTTGCTGAAGAAAAACCTTCACAAAAATTGTTACTCACGGCTAAACGTTTTAAACACTTGAGCACTTAAGCGATGGCGACTATTTTAGGCGAAAAACATATAAGGCAAAAAAAAGTGTTAAAACTAGGCTGACATTTTGATTTTAAAAGCGTATATCTATGCTATATTTAAATGCGTGTGACAGTATCTCCCTATGCTTAAGATTTTTCAATTTGCATGTTCAACAAACGAATATTTGCATGCTTGAGCTATATCGTCTATTCCACTGCTTAGGAATTTTTTTTCAATTTTCCAGTTTATGATTGCTAGGACTATTGAGAAGCCCAATTGCAAGACTGTAGCTATTATGGGGGGGAGAGGAGTGCGCAGTGTAGTGTAATTACACAAGCAAAGCTTATGTGAAAGTATGCAGTCTCTTCTTTTTCCAACCTAATCGCAAATATCAGTGTTCATTTTGAAAGGGTTCATTTTGATCAATAGCCAGCTATTAAGTACAGCCAATGCTAAGGATATTGACACAGATAAATAATTTTTTAAAAAGCACTTTAGCTTCAAGGTATCATGAATCTGTAGCGTAGAGATAGGTAAGGATACCCGCAACAAAATAAAAGGGGCAAGGTCGGATGTTTTTAATTTTTTCGTATACTAGTTCAAATTCTTGTTTGTTGGTAAATTTATTTTTTTTTCAAATTGACTACTTTGACTCCTAATCGGTCATAAATGGTTTGCGTCACTTGGAAGTTATGTAGACTCAAAATTGGCGTGCGTCACTTAAGAAATTTTGTAGATTCAAAGTTTTACTCATTCAGTTTTTCCCAGTAGCGTTAACGGTCATAATTTTGCTTCTTTTTGCGAAGTACAACTTCGCCGCTGTGTTTAGAAGTTGCATTCATCAATCTATACATGAGTGCAACCTCCGTTTTATACTCCGTGTTATGACGTGTTTTTGGTTTTTCCAATCTAAAAAATTAACTATTTTAAACATTAAAATTTTTCTCAAATTTTGAGAATCATAACCTTTTGGTGGTGCGATGTCAGCTTACTACTAGCGATTACAGATGCGGCCTATATCCAATGATCGCTCAAACATTTTTAGTGTTCAAGATGTGACGTTATTTTGAGAAAAAAATTGTAAAACAACCAGATTTTTTTTCTTTTCAATTTTTGAGTTTTTTCTACACTATAGCGGTGTGATGTAAAGTTACTTACTTACAGAGGTTGCTGATGTGCACTCAAATTTGCACTTTTCAGAACAGTTAGGGATCTCAGATTCAATCAGCCCTCTATCTATCCAACTAGCCATCCCTCCTCTTTGTCATCCTCCCAACTAGCAACCCATTCGGCGAGCTTTGATACCATCGGTCAAACCTTTTATTCATCAAGCGATCTGTGCAACCAGCCAACAGGCCAGTCATTCATTAGTCGGTACATTCATCAAGTGATCCATTCATCAAGCCATCCATCCATCCGTCCATGCATCAACCCACTCATTCGCCAAGCGATCCATTCATCTAGGCATCAATCTATTCAATCAGGTATCCATCCATCAAACCAGCTATCAAGCAAATCATCCAATAATAGGAAAAACCATCTAGCCATGCATCCAACAAGCTATCTGCCCAGCCATCGATCGAACTATTCTTTCAGCAAGCCATCCATCCATCTAGCCGTCCATTCATCCAGTCATCCATCTAATTAGCCATCCATCCATCTACATATCCATCCGTCCCTTATCCATCCATGTAACTATTCATGCATCTCATCAGACATCCGTGCAGCAGTCCATACTTGGTCTAGCTATCAATCCAACTAGCCATCTCTGCGTCAAACAACCCATCCGTCCAGCCATCCATCCAGCAAGCCATCCATCCAGCAAGTCATCCATCCCACAAGCTATCCATGCACCAGGCCATATATCCATTTAGTCATCTCTCAATCCTACCATCCATTCATACAACCATCCACTCAGCTACCCACCCATTCATTCAGCTATCCATCCAGGCATCAATGAATCCAACATCTAGCCATGCAGCCAGTCACATATCCAGCCAAAAACCCATCTATCCTCTCAGCAAACCTATCCTCGCAGCAAACCGCTTATCAATTTAGCCATCCATACATCCAAGCAGTCAGTCTTCGATCTAACCATCATTCAAGCTATCCATATCTCCAACCATCCATGCTGCTAGTCATCTTACTATCATCTAGACAGCCATCCATGCGCTCATCTAGCTATCCATTGTGCCTCAATTCCATCCTTTTAATCATCCGGCCAATGGTTTAAACATTCATTGATGAATCCAGCCATACTTATAACCAGACAAGCATCCATCCATTAAACCTATTTTTCTGTTAGAGATAAACGTTGTCATCTTTCAGGAGCAGCTTAGTTGCAGGGGCCTGCTGTTTTTAGTTGAAATTGTATGCAATTAACTATGTTTTTCTATTGCTACATACTAGCAGTGTATTAATATTGCTACATACTTAAAATATTGTTCAAACTGCAAATGAACAGTAAAGAACTGACCGCTGTAGTCGCGCCAACGTGCTGCATGCTTACCAGCTGAGGGTAAGATTCATTAAGAAAGTTAGAGTCGGTTATCGCCACCTTGAACCGTCACTCGGCTTTGTATTCTTTAAACGCTTTTTGTCAATGTGCTCTGGAAAAATAATAGAAGGATTTCTGCTGAAATACTTTTTTATTATGAGAAATTTCGACTAATATTAACAGTTTTATTTTCGCCTAATATTAATTTTTTTTCGCCTATTATAGTTTTCGCGTAAGATATACAGCCCCATTTTAAGCTACTTGTTAACAGTTTATTCGTTTTAGATGACGTTTTTCAGCTAGTTCAAATACATTTTTGGGGGGGGGGGGGCATGCGCAGAAAATTTTGGGGGGGGGGGGGGGGGGTGGCATTTTTTAGTTTGATTTTCCAAGCTCTCCGAAAATTTTTTAAGGACCCTATTGTGTCAAAAAGTTTCTGCGCCGCATGCAGATTTTTTTAGAAAACAGGCCAAAAAAAGCGTTTTTAGGCACTTTTTGGATAAATTTGACCAAAAAAATTTCTTTTTTTTTGGCACGCGCTCCCCCACAAATTTAGTTATTTTGACGCCCAAGGCACCTTTTGAAAAATTTGGAGGCCAAAACTGGATGTTGTTAAATTATACCAAAAAGGGGTCCTTTTGGAAAACTTAAAACTTAAGCAACCAGAACTGAGGGGGGCCCCGATACCCCCCCCCCCCCCCCCCCCCCCCCCGTCGCCACGATACTAATTTTTTTTGGTGATGAAAACTTTTCTCTAATACATTCAAACAAGATGAGAAGTATGATGAACTTGTGGACTTTAGGAGGGTAGGCGCGTTCTTTCTCCAGGGATTTGACCCCCTTCCGACCTAAAGGAATATCCATTTTTGGCTGACGGATGCTAAAAAGTTTTCTCAAGGTATTTTGGGCGCCATTATTTAATAATGTTGAGAGGTAAGTGCGCTCCAAAAATACGCAATTTTTTGGTCAGAAATTTCCAAAAAAAAGCCTAAAAATGCTGTTTTGGCCTGTTTTTATTCAAAATTTAGCCTCCGGCGCAGAAAATTTGGCAAAACAGGATCTTTATAGTGCATTGGACGGCTTGGAAATTCATTTTGGTGGACCTTAAAAAAGTCGACAAAATATTTGATATTTTTTTTTTGAAAATCCGCTACCTCCCCTCGAGAAAACCTAGATCCGCCCCTGGTTCTCATCAAGCAAAAAATGGAATGATTATTTTTCATACTCCTGAGATTTCAAATAAGTGTAACACGACAACTCACATCAAAAGACAACTCGCAATAAATACAACTCGCACTTAACTCCAAAGATAATCACTTATTTAACCCTAAGTTCTGTTATAGGAGTGAGAAGTCACGTGATACTCCTGGGGTGTCCCAAACAGATGGAGGAGTCTCGGATTCCAAGGGGGACGAGGGTGCTTACAAGGAAAAAGAGATCGAAGTTAGTTTGTTGGAAAATTTTTGCACGGTTATAGAAAATTTAAATTGTTACTTTTTGGAAGAATTAAAGCCTTGGTTAATTTAATTGGGACAGTACAGCAGTTCCGAAGTACAACAGTGCCGAAAATTAAATTTTGTTCAACATTGCCGAAAATCAAAATGTTCAGCAGTGCCAGAAATAGCTGTGACTTCTGTTTTCAATCATTCCAAATCACTGACATGTATATTAATTCCAATTGACGCAAATTGAAAAGTCAAAAAAGGTCTTTTTAATTGATGCCGCTCGTTAAACAAATAAAATTTCCCAAGCATGGCGTCATAAATTTTTCTGAGCAAACAATCAACTCAGCAAAATTTTTCTCTTCGGTTTTGCTCTAAAACAACACGTATTCGAGTTAATTGCCAGTATTTCCCAAACATAACTCAAAATTTTCAAATATCCTCAAGTTTTGGCACTGTTGAACTAATTGTTCCGACTTTCGTAATGATAATAACGGAATATTTGTGCTCGGTGTGGTTTTTTCCTCAGACAAATTTCGACTTTTTAACTATATAGCTATTAATGACGGATTTTTTTTTTTACAAAATACTCTAAAAGTATTGTTGTCCTGAGCTTAAATTGGAAAGATATTTCAACTGTGTTCTTTTTTCGTAAAATATGGGGGTTTAAAAATGGCCATTTTGGCTAATTTGGGACCATTAACGCGCAAAACGTTTCGCGCTATTAACGCGTAAGCGGAGATTTAATCCGTCGTAGAATTCGTACCAAATTGGTTGAACGAAGAATATTTGCCATAATTGATTTGTTAATAGGAGCGAAATTTATCACTTTAAATTTATTATGGCGTGTGGGGTAATGCTTTTCACAAAAAAATCTCAAATTAAAAAAAAAGTTTATTTTTTCTACATTTAATTTGTCCATTTTATTACTGCTCCACAGAAGGCAGTGGGAACATTCAAGGATTCGCCTTGATACGAGCAGTCTTGTTTTCAATTTTAGCATCTTAAGGGTATTCTTGTTCCGACTTTCAAAGAAAATTAAATATTTATGCTTGGGGTCATTTTTTTATTTATTCATTCAATTATCGGCAATCGAAATAGTAGTTTTTAACTTAAGAAATTTTATGCCCCATTGAAGATATTAACTTCCCAAAAACAAGAATATTATACCTTACAAATTTTGAAAAATAGTATTATAAATTTAGAAAGATATTGTTGTAAATTTGAAAAGATATCAAAATATATTTAAAAAGATGTTTGGCCATGCTCTGGACTAATTTTTGCGCGCTTTGTAGATTTCATCCATAATCCTGAAAGCCATGCGCGAATTTTTTTTTGTTGGCGAAAAAATAAAATCGTTCCAAATCAGTCGTATTAACTTCGTACGACTCAAAATTTCACACTTCATCTTTGATATCGTCCAAAATTTATGGTTTGTAAACGTTTTTGGTTCAATAATTTCGTTTAATTGCAATAATTTGTTTTTTTTTCTAGATTTTTAAAACATCAAAAATTGAGTTTTAAACGCAGAAAAAGTCTTTTAAAAAGTTTTTTTGAAAACCAATCTTATATTGCACGTGACGTTGTAATGTGATTTAAAAATCATAAAACCCGAGTGCATTCTAATTCTAGAAATTATAAAAGTGAGTTGATGAGATTGTTTGAGATTTTAAGATTCTATAACGATTATCAAGTGTCCGCTCAAGTTGGAGACCTTCGAATGCTAAAATCCAATGTTTTGTACATTTTTATAGTCCACATAGCTTGAAAACAGTTTGATAGACACTTAACCGATATAATTCTGACATGGGGTTTGTTCAGGTTCCTGAAGATGAAGAAGGACTGTTGGAACACGTGGCCGAGTATTTGAAGGAGATGAGCGAATCTGGTCACGTGGGAACTCAGCCCAGCCTACTCGGAACTTCAGTCGAGAAAACGTGAGTCTGAAATATTATTTAATCCCTGAAGAAGACGAAGAAAAAATTATCTTCAGGCCACACACAATTTCACGATGGCAAAGAAGAAGTTATCTTTATTTGATTTGCTATAAGATTGAGTAACCATGAGTCATCACGAGTCATCATTTAAATTAAGTCTTCAGTTCAGATCGTGAAGTTGTGGCCGGAAAAATTTTTTTTTCGTCTTCAGGGAACAAAGTGATGTCAATTGAGAAATTTATAGTGAAATATACTAATTTTTTGTTTAATATGATTAGTAATTTGCTTGGCTCTTGAATTAGGCAACATCATAAAAGTAACAAAAAGCAAAATTATGCTAAGTGATTTTATGTTTTCCAGATTTTTAACTCGGATTCAAGCCAGGCGATCCAGACGACACGCTTTCGAAGTAAACATAGAAAAAACTAATCGATTCGAGGACATCTGCGCTCCTTTCCAGGCGCTGCAGCCGAAACCTCTGGCCTCCGAGGAACTGCCGAAGGGTATGGCCTTCCGACTGCCTTCGAGGACTGTAACTCGTGCCAGTCAAGAAGAGGCCGCCGGGAACATAGTGCCATTGAGATCATCCACTAAAGTCAGCTTCAAACTGAGTAAAGATAACAAAAAATAGATCAGAACTTGTAATCCCTAGATTGAATTTGAAATTTCTAAACTGGTCTTGAAATCAGCACTTTATTTTTAAACAATTGACAAAAATTTTGCGACATGTTTTCTTCTTTAAGACCCTCGATTCTGACGCGCTCCGTCCAGTCGTTTTGACGCGTTCATTCTAAACTACCAGAGTTGATATTCTGAAAGTACGACTAATCATACGACTTCATACAAAAAATCAATAGAAAATGCTTGTCTTTGCACAAGAGGAGCGCAACTTTTTTTCAAACCTAATTTGCAATTAAAAGTGCTACTTTTAGTGGCGCGTTTGAATCAGGAGGCTGCATTGGCAGTACAATATTACGTGCTTTGACATTTGGTTAGAATGAAACAAAACAGTTGGTCTTTTTCTTACACAAGCCAGCAGCTAGTGTATTAAAACGAACCTTCTGTTTTTCTAACCTAACTCGCAAATGAAAGTGTTCATTACTTGGTGGCAAAGTATTCGTTATTTGGTAGCATTTTCACTATAATCACGATCTGTAGTATTGGAAATTTCATAAGATCTGTTCTCTGCGTTAATTGTGGCCAGTGTTTGTGACCAATTAAGCGTCCGTGCCTCAGTGGCTAGTGGGTGAGAAGCATAGTCTCTAGGTCGCCATCGGGCGGAGATGGAATCCAAGAAGTAGCTGATTTTTTACTAACTCTAGTCTTATTTCATTGTTTTCTTATCGCATTTTATAGAGCTGCTGTTTGGTCGCGTTCTAGCAAGTGTTTGCGAAGCGAAGCTTCCTTTTTGTGTTAATTTATTAAATGAACCTAAAAAGCTATTCATTTCATACAACTGTGTCATAAATCAAATTTATTTTTAGAAATTTTCCATTTCAGTATATTTTTGAAATGCATAAATTATATACAATGTGCTTTTATTCTTTCAATTATATTGGCTGCACAAGTAGCGTGGTTGCCTTTAGTTAACTACATGCTTACGTTATTTTGGCTTGCGCTCGCAAAGTGCAGCTTCGCCTCTGTTTAAAAGTTGCATGCAACAAATTCTACGCCGAAAGAATTTTTGAACAGCTATATTTACACTTGTATGATTGATTTTGCTTCTCTTTGATTAATTTTTCTGAATTTCATTTGAATAACGACTGGTAGTCATACAGTTTTCATTCTATATGACTTGATTGTTTAGGAGTTTAAGGTCTTTTTTACTTATTTCGCCCAAAATTTTAGCTTTTGCTATTTTGTTACATTCAATTTATAAAGGCAGAGAACAGAACACTGATTGCACTGGTTGGTTTGGTTAATGAAAACACGTTCATCTTATTCATTAGCCGATTTCAATCAAGCCCAAAAATTGAGCAGATGTGAAGGTGGACTTTTTTGCATGAAGCTGTTTTTTGTATTCTGTTCTAGTCTGGGTGAAACTCTGCAGCTGATTTGAAGTGAAATTGAACAGTTTACCAAACAAACTGTTTTTTTTTCACCAATGTCTCTTATTTAATAGTCGACTTACAATTGATGCATTAATTTTTGGGCGGACGAAATAAGAAGAACCTGTTTTAATATCACTGAAAATAGAAAAAAACAGTTTAAAAAAGTGTATTGAAAACTTTTACAAAACAACTTTATTTTTCACTTTGGTGTGGAAACTGAGCTATGTTATATACTACCAATGAACTTTCAAGGATTAAAAGTGCGGAACAAACAATGATTTATACAACTGCTGAAATAAAATCCAGTTTCCATGTAAATGATTCGGACATACTAAACAATTACAGAGCAAAAAAGTAACACTTTTGCGGATATGATGAGAGCAAGTTTCAGCTATCTCGCTCAATTTTTGGCTATTTAATATAAACTGCTCGTTTCGTTTTGTTTCTTGTTCCGCTGGTTTGTTTAAATTAAGAACTATCTCAGATCGTAGAGTAGGTGCTATTCTCATTATGGAGGAACCGAATGATGGAAAGTTCTCAACCAATCAGAATTGTTAGTCTTTCCTACTCACCGATTCGTTTTTGCTCAAAATCGAAATCAAAATGAGCAGAAACTGATTTAAGAGCAAAATTGGCTGTACATTTTATGCGGATATCGAATATATATTTTTTTGGTTTGTGTTACATTTTTTAAAGAATCGGTGTCCTCCAAGCAACAAACTTTTTCAATCCATTTTAGATCTGACGCTTTTTGAAAATTCTTTTTCATTCTTAATTTGCAATTGGACATTTTAGTTTTGACGGCCTGAACTTAATTGCCTTAATTGAATTTTTCGCCATTTCTTCATATTGAGAACTGTGTTTTTTGAATTGTAAGTGGATTCCGCAATAAGGATGCTCCCTTTGCTCTTCTTTTGTTCTTTCATTTTCTTTGATCGTTCCCACAAAATTTTACCATGTTTGAAGATCTGTCTGGCGTCCAGGAACACACAGATACAAAATTTTGCGCCTATCCAATGCAAAGTTTGAAATTACTTGAAAATGTTTAAAATTTTGAATGCTGAGATTTGATTGGCTCAAAATAATTGAAAAAAAATTCCAAAAATCGGTCCTTTCATCATGAGGGATGCCACCCCTAGAGTATATCATTCCGAATAGTCAAAATCTGTATAGGACTGGAATAAAACTGAAGAAATTTTCTCGAACAAGCAGGTCACCTAGTGAAAGCCGAGCCTAACAAAATTGCTCAGCCCAACAAAATTTAGAGAATTTTTTTTCACATCAAATTTTTTATTCACACCAATTGAAATGTTGTCAACGTGTATATTATATACAAATGCTGCACCTCAATGAGTCGAGTACAAAGCTTTGCAGCTTAAAAGATCCGTTGAAATTATTTGGCATTTCAAGCCAAGGCGACCTTCATATACCGAAAAAACTGGTCATACAATTTCATGCAATTAGTTCGAAAAAATGATGTCTAGCTTTGGTTTTCGATCCGGAAATTTTGTTGTAGGGCAACAATTGAAGAGTTCGACTGCGTTTTAACGTGTCTAGATCATGTTTAATGGATAACTTCCAAAAAAAACTATTCTAAATGCATACATCAATTTCAATACCAAGTTCTAGGCGTCTCAGAACGCAATAGTTTTCATTTGAACCAATTAATTTACCATAATTCAAATTGAAAATATTTCGAGCCCAATGAAATTGTCGCCTATCATTAATAGAAAACTGAAACTACAACACACGGTAAGTTACAACAAAATGTTAACTATCCATAACAGCAAAAAAAAAATGCCCGCATTGGAGTTTCATGAAGCAAAATTGTTTATAGTTGAGTTTCCTTGTCAGAATCCACAAAAATGAAAACAAATTGATTATAATCAATTAAAAATGGATTATAATATTACTTTTTTTCGAGGCAACAAAATCCTTTTTTCATCCATTATAATCGATTTTTTTTTCACTTTTGTGAACACTGACAATGAAAGTAATTTAGAAATCAATTTTTTTCCACTTTACTGAGATGCGAATATCATTGCACATAAAGTCTTTTCTACATTTTAAACTAAAGTTGTTTACGTTGGTTACTTGTTCTTCAATTTAATTTTTTCTGCCTAACTTTGATATTTTTGTTACGTTTTTATGTTACTCAAAAACTGAATTTCGTTCCTTTCAACAATTTTGTTGAATTATTAGAAACATTAGGGGGGGGGAGGTGTTAAAATTGGAGGTGGCCTAATCCCCCTTCCATTACCCCCTCCCCCCCCCCCCCCCCCCAGCGTTTGCCCATTTAAAACAACCCCCCTCCCCGGTGGGTTCAGTGGGTGCGAGGGTGGGTTCAATTGGGGGAGGGGTTGGGTTCAGGTGTTCAGGTGGAGAGGGGTGTTCAGGTGGGGGGGGGGGGTGTTGTTCAGGTGGGGGTGTTCACGAGGGGGAGGGGTGGTGGGTTCATGTGGGGGGAGTTGTTCAGGTGGGGGCGGGGGGGGTTTCAGTGGGGGAGGAGAGCAAAGGGGCAAACGTTAGGGGGGGGGTAGAGCTTAACAGAATCTTTTTGCAACTTGAGTTTAGGTTTAGAAATCGATTAGGCCGTTTACTCGCTTCGCAAAGTTTCAACATAACTCACTTGATAAATGCAGAACTTCTTGCAAAATTTTGCACGACGCGCTAAACAAAAATAAAGTAAAAAAAAATCCATTTCAATGTGATTTCCTACTTATTATAAAATCCATTACAAAGGATTCCAAATGAATATGTGCATTTTGTTTTGACGAGAAAAAAATGGATCTAAATCCATTTTTAGTCCAATTTTGTTGTCTGAACGTAACATGGGAATCGATTATAATTACAACATTTTAGACCACGAAAATCCATTAAAATCGATTTGTTTTCAATGTTCTTAATTGCGGGTGTTCTTTTGTTAGTATCGATGGTTTTCATTTGCCAAGAAAGCTCAGTCAAAATCTGCTTTTAGAGTCACTATTATCAAGAATAAAAAAAATGTTGGGCGTAAATTATTGGTCACTTTTTTCCTCCGAGAGTCGGAGCTAGCGCCAGGGGAGGATTTAGGGGGTGTTCACGGTAGGAAGGGGTGGTGGGTTCATGTGGGGGGAGTTGTTCAGGTGGAGGGCGGGGGCTGTTCAGGTGGGGGGGGGGGGTCCCCTTTTGTACTTTTTTGGGATATCCATTTTTGGTGACGGACCATAAAAGTTTTGTAAAGGCGCCTTTGGCGCCAAATATATACTAATTTTGAGGGGGGATCGCGCGCCAAAAAAAACGCAATTTTTTGGTCAAAATTTTCCAAAAAGTGTCTAAAAACGCCTTTTTTGGCCTGTTTTTTCAAAGTTTTGCCTGCAGGACGGAAATTTTGGCCAAAACAGGGTCTATGTAGTGCTTTGGGAGAGCTCGCAAAATCAATTTGGTCGACCTAAAAAAAAAGTTGACAAAATTTTCGAAAATCCAACTCCCCCCTCGAGAATATCCTAGATCCCCCCTGGCTAGCGCTATCAAAATAATAATCAAAATTACTATCGAAAAGTTTTAATAAATTAAGCTAAAAAGAATCAATTGTTCAGATTTTTAATGAAATTAATACTGCCTTGGAGAATTCACCATTGACCTAGGAAATATTCGTTTTCAGGTGTCTCCCAAACAT